CTGACCAGGAATCAAACCGGGACCTCTCAGTCCACAGGACAATGCTCAGTCCACTGAGCCACACCAGCCAGACTAGAAATACCAATCTTAACAGCAAAAAACAATTCAATTTTATTTTGTTTTTATGTCTGGAGCAATTTTATATGTTATGTCATTTGACTCATGCCACAGCTTTGTGATGGAAGGAGAACAAATTAGGAAGGAAAATATTTCCAGTCCAAGGTCTCTTAAATATCATTATATATTATTTTCGGTCACACTTTATTTGCCCCTGAGGATTTAAAAGAGGCCACTTACATCATAGAGTGGAGAGTCAACTCTGTTTATTTACGGAGAGTCAACATTCAAATTTATCTAGAGAGGGTTTCTATCCACCTCAGGTCACCTGTGTTTTTGAAGTTACCAGTAGATGAAAACCTGAATGAGGACATGGGAAATGGAGTGAGTCCAAGGACACTGAATTTTCATTTGGGAAACATCTTTGTGACCCGATTGTAGACTTGATTAAATGTCTTGATCCTGAATTCTTCTGTAACTTCAAATATTTCCCAATGAAATTGAGATGAGCAACAGCTTGAAATTGTGCCAACCAGCCTTCACAAAAGACTTTCAAACCTGATACAAAAGAATGTTCTACAGGCCAATGGTCAAACCTATGTTTAATATTCATAATTGACCATGGCTACAGTTCCAATTGAGCCAAAGCTCATTGGCCAAGGCCAGTAAGTATCTGTCTACATTTAGTTCGTTCATTTTCTTTCTTAAAGGAAAAAATATTAATAGTCTTCTGTTATGTAGATCATTATTGAAGACTGATTATGATTATATGCTCTTTTATGGGATCAATTAATTCTCTGATAAATTCTCTGTCCCCAAATAATTTGTGAAATGTCTCTCTCTCTCAAAAATTAATATCACCCAGTTTATGTTCTCTGACCATAATGTTATACATTTAGATATTAATTAAAAATAGAATTTTAAAAGCCATAAGCTTTGGAACCAAATGATACTCACTTTGAAACCCTTAGTTTCCAAAGGAAATCAAGAAAAATTATAAAATACTTAGATTGTGGATTGTGTTGTGTGCAAAAGTATGTATAGTGAAGACCTTAGCAGTGCTTTTCAAAGTATTTGTGGTAAAGGACTAATTTTATTAAATTTCTAACCAAGCACAGACCAATTAGATTATAAAATTAAATTAATTACTAGAAAAATAAAATGTAAAAACAAAGATATACAAAGTATAAGCTCAAGTATTTATTATTAGGTTTCAAAGACATAAAATTATATTTCATGTAATTTATATATAATCAGAGCAAACATGCTTTAGAAAAAATGTTTTTTGATTTTCTTTATTTTTTTTCTTTATTGATTTTAGAGAGAGAAGAAGGGAGAGGGAGTGAGAGATAGAAACATCGACGAGAGAGAACATTGATTGGCCGCCTCCTGTGTGCCCCCAACTGGGAATCAGGCCCACAACCTGGGCATGTGCCCTGACCAGGAATCGAACCAGCAACCTCTTGGTGCATGGGTCAATTCTTAACCACTGAGCCACAATGGTCAGCGTAGAAAAATGTTTTTACATGATTATTTTTCATTACTTTATTTATCTTAATGTAGACCAGTAACAAATAATTTGAAGATCAGCATTCTGAGTAACACTGATTTATTGCAAATACATAGCTTAAAAGAAAAATCTATGATTTATAAGAATACATACAAATAAAGAAACACACATCAAATCTATTGACATGATTGTTTATTGTGGGAACAAAGGGAAGAAAGTTTGGATGAAAAAGAATCAATCGATCAAGAGAGTGCCTGAGCCCAGAAGAATGAGAATGGTGTAATAGGAGCATGGCTAACTCAACTTCAACCTCTGAGGGATGGACGGACACACACACATACACACACAGAGAAAAAGTTATACCCTTGGTCTCTTTGTCACTAACTCATTGTTTTCCATCTATTTTAACTCGTCTTATCATCATTAATTCTTTTCTCCCCTCCTTATTTTGAACTACATCAAACCAATAAGAAAGCATCAGGTATAGATACATTTCCCCTGGAATTAGATATGTACTTTGTTTTTCACTCTTATCTAAGTAAACCAAAGAGACCTACTATAAATGCCTTGGCTAGTTTACACTGGTTAGAATCAGAGGCAAAGAATTTTAAATCTTGTAAAGGTCTCAAATATGTTGTCTATACATATATTTCTTCATTTCCCACTCATTTTCAACCCACCCACAAATCTGAAACATAGTCTTTAAAGTATAACTATTAAACTGAAGGAGAATTGAGAAATGCAATAACACTTCGGAGGTATATTTTGATATTTGTCCAATAAATGATCACTCCTGTTTGGGGATTAAAGGACTCTGTCCTGTAGTTGCCTAACCTGAAGTCCTGGTATTTGTACATCTGGACTAGTACCCTCCTTTATGGAAGCTTCCCTCTGGAGGCTTTTTAAAGTGTGTAACTGTGCACATTACTTTGTACTCAGCCTTTCTATTTCGTAGTGATCAGAGTTTTTTATTTATGCCCTGGAATGTAAAGGGAAGGGTTGAATAAGAGTTATTTGTGATTTGAGATAAGAAGAAAAATAATCTATGTTTATGAGGCCCCAAACTCTTTGTTTTACTTAACAGATTTCTAAAAGTTGATTTATCAAAATAGTCATTTCAATTTCAATTTTATTTGTGGAAACATGATCTATTTAAGCCTGGAATTATATTTCATGCTTTAATTCTTTTTGTTGTTGTTGTTAATCCTCATCCAAAAATATATTTTCCATTGATTTTTAGAGAGAGTGGAAGGGGTGGGCGAGAAAGAGAGAGAGAGAGAAACATCAATGTGAGAGAGACATATCGATCAGTTGCCTCCCATACATGCCCCAATTGGGATGGGGATTGAACCTGCAACCCAGGTATGTGCCCTTGACCAGGAATGAAACTCGAGACCCCTTAGTGCTCTGGCTGACACTCTAACCACTGAGCAAAATCAGCCAGGGGTCATCCTTTAATTCTTAAACTGTGGCCCTTCAATGTGTAGCACTGCATATTAATAACTAAACTAGTAGAATTTTGAAGTTTATCTGTTTTTCTCTACCTCATTGGGTTTTAAAATTAACTAGAAAATTAATATATACTCATTATACCAAGTCAAGCAATGCGGGGGTGTATAAAAAGTTAGAAGCCCTGCCTTACCAATCAATAATGGATTACCCAACATGAAGACTAAATATGTACTTGGGACACCAACACAAACAGGGGATTCTAAAATGTTTTTGAAAAATGTTGTAATTGATATTTTAGAAGGAGCATTGCATAAGTGACTATACAAAAAAACTTTAGGACTTCTTTATATTTGTGTTAGTATTTTTATTAAATTTTACATTATATATTAGTTGGGGGAGAACACATGTACAAATAATGCATATATGTCAAGATTATATTTTGTTTATAATGTATATGCACATATACTTTCTGTATTATCATTGTAGAATTGTTTTATATCTTAAAATTTTACTTATTTTGTAAATGTTTCCATGTTCATGATGAGATATAATGCTTATGATGTAATCATTGCTTTTTATTCCATTATACTAATAAACTAACTTTTAATTTCTAAATCTTCTAAATAATTTCTAAATCTTCCACTTTTATTAAATATGTGGCTATATTCATATTTCTGAGATCTTGTAATGTTCTTTTTCAAAAATAATTTTCTTGGGCTAAATCACTGGCATGATATTATTACATCAAAACTTGATAATATTTAGATAGCTCTTCCAATCTAGGACCAAATTTCTCACCTAAAGGAGTTTATAGGGTAAATTGTATGCATTCTGAGCTTAGAAGTAGCTCGGAACATGATGAGTTGGGGGCTGGCAAGGTTAGAGGTACTATGGACAATAGGAAGATGACTGTCATTATCCTGGCAGGAGATGTTGAATATCCCATCTAGAATGTGGCAGTGTGTATATAAAAGGAAATGAATATAACAAACATTTAGGGGTTGGATTTGACAGGCTTGATGATAAGGGGAGGGAGGAATAAGGAAGACAGAAGGATGAGTTATTGTGTTTTTTGGGGGGAACTTGAGAACTGGATGGAATAGAGCAGGTTTGGAAGACAGGAGGATACTAGGGTGCGATATATCCCCAACATCCAACATAGTGGCCAGTACAACGAAGGCATTCAATAAATGTTAGTTGTATGAATGATTCATGGATACATGACTTAATGAGTGCTGTAAACAATGAATAAACATTCCTATTTCCCAAAGCTTTACAAGTACCTAGGTGTATAGTTACTGTTTTTTCTCAATAGGATATTTTAAAATCAGGACTCATGAGAACAAAGAAGTAAGAGAATTAGAAAAGAAACTGTGGAAAAGAAGAGAATCCAAAGCCAAAGCTCAAGATTTTAGAACAACCTGACCCTCCCCTCATTGAATCAGTCAATTACTTAAGGTCAATCTTATGCCAATTTATGTAGACTTAACTATTCCTTACAGAAAGTTGGTGCTCCCAGATCTCTGGCTGCTAACTCAATATCCATGGATTCAGAATGAAGTAATAGCTCCACCCCGCTGGCCTCATTGTTGACCACTGAGGGACTGAGCAGGTTTTGGTTCCTAAACCTCTGCTCTGAGGCCCAGTCCCTTCAGGGTACCTCCAGCTGACCACAGGAGTCTAGAGCCAAGGTTCTGCTGAGAGAATTCCCACACAGCATTGTGTCTCCAGCTGTACTTTGGGTACTCTGAACCTTAGTTCACTGATTGTGACTTGTGTTAAATTTTGTCACTTTGGGTTATTGTATTTTCATGTGTTTACCTTATATCCCCTGGAGGGCAAAAGCCATGATTTCTTTTTTTTTTTCATAACTCCCCAAAGGGCAGATATAACGTTTAGTGACAAGTGAGGACTCAGCAACTACTGATGATTATCCAACCAAAACTACTAAATTGAAGGAAGCAAATGCACCATGTATCTGGTCGTAGGAAACAAAATGTTTATTGAAATGGCATGTAGATAAATTATCACATAAAACTGTTAGTGGAGTTTTCAACGTGTTCTTTTTTCTCTTAAAATGAAGTGTGGCTTTATAAGTCCATTGTCCCATATGAAAAATATTATATTTATCTGTTCAGATAAAGTCCTTTAAAAAAGTAAATCATTTTTGAAATGGTCTTTTAAACGTCTCCAGCCTATGATCAAAACAAAAATATATTGAAAGATATAGTTATCTCCATGTAAAAGGAATTAAATATAAATAATTAGGGGTAATACATATGAAAAAATACTTATGCATTTGAAATGCTAGGATATACTCCTATTTTATTAGTATGTACTAAAATATTTAAGACATATTTTTTTTTAAATCACCAAGACAAAATGACATGTGATCATTAAAAAATAAGGCAATTATTTCATATACACCTAGGAAATATGCTAAAATGTTACATCTTCAAGTAAACAATTTTTACATAACTCTGACTTCAGTAATTTGGGAATACAATCCAAAGTAAATTATAATTTCTATTTAAGGCTAAATATCCTTAATATCAGACAAAATTGATAAATATGGTATGAGAAAATGAGAAGGAACTTTCAGAAAAGTTTCTGACACTGTGGGTTAATTGAAATGAACAGTTAATTTGCAGGGTAAAATGATTTATTCAAGTTCTATTTCAACATGATGTTCTGGTCTGACCTGTTTGGCTCCCCCAAGGTGGTGCTGCTGTCCTTCAATGGAGAGTCTGTTGAATGGAATGATCTTCATGGTGGTTTTCTTCATGGAATACCAACGAGATTTCCAAGTGGCCCAAATAATGCCATTATCATAACCATTAGGTGTAGATGCTTTTGAGTAAGTGCCACCTAAGACAAATTGTAGAGAGACATATCGTTGCTCTTAGGTTTTCTTACCTCAGAGAGTCTACAAAGAACTGTCAATTATGATGCCCATTGCCACATCAACTTTATAGTGTTATCACCTAACTGAAAATATTCCTAAAGATTCCCCAAATCTCAATTTGCAATGATAACAAATGAATTATTAAATAACCCCTTACATCTGTGTTGTACTGTCTGGTCACATTCATACTTTAACTATATTTACTACTAAAAGGGCTAGAACCCCAATTACCCCAATTGATCTCTCCCTGAGCTTAGCCATCCTAGACTCAGCTATAATGAACCATCTTTCTGCAAGGAGGTTGGAATGACAGGAGTCACAGTTCGTGATCAGATGGTCTCAAATCATCTGAAATCACAAATGTACTAGAAAGTATGAGGAACTTCAGGAAACGGTTCTGGAATGACATTTCACATCTCCATTAGAAAGTGGAGATTAGGTTGATTTGTCTTCTCCTTGTCCATGGGCACCAGAGCTCATGTAATTTTGTAAGGGAATGTCTGAGTCCATTATTAGCATGCCCCCTGGGCTATCAAAATGGTTACTCTGGGTCATATGGATCAAACACTTTTCTTCTAATTATATGGTTTGTAGGCACAAAGATAAATTAAGTTTTAAAAAAAAATGTTGTGAGAACCAAAGGGTAAATTTAAATCATTTTAAAGAGGACTTTACGCCATCTATTGGCTAAGACAGTGCCCCGAGGAGGTAAGATTGCTTATCTTAAGGGATCTAGCAACAGCCGGGCTTCCCCACACATAGCTGTTGGGTAGTAACAACAGTGTTGCTAAGTAAAATCAGTATTCATAACAACACCTGCCTTAGTGCAAACTGTAGCTTGCCTTCCCCCACTCTAAAGTAAGTAATTAGACCCATAGGCTAGACTCTGCTTTCAAGATTCCATGGACCCCTGTGCTTAACAATTTCCTGCTCTTTACTCCATTCCTCCAGACATTGGCTGATTGCTCACTGGTTATATATCTTACACACTGCTCATATGAAGCTGACCAGGCTAATGTGTTAAACAAGCACATCCAGAGCATACATATGGTAAATCTGAAGGAGACACCATCACCCAAAGTGTCAACTCTGATGGTGGTAATTTCAGACATAATGACAAACCACTGGCTATTTACTGCAGGTGGGTTTCTTTCCAGGGACCAATAGGAGGCATACGTACAATATCTGATTCTGATTTAAAATCAAGAACTATATAATAAGCCCCCTAATATCTTTCTCATTTCCTTAAATCTATTTATACCTTGTATAAAAATATAGACCACACACTAAGTCAAATACGTAAGGAAGAAAGGCATACCTTGGTAATAAACCCCATTGAGGTGGCCAGCGTGACACTTGTTCATCCACCAACCAGATCCGTCCTGTTCAGCACAGTTACCATCAAACTTATCATTGTCATTGTCCCAGGTACTGAACTGCATGCCATTGTGGGCTGTGAAAAACTTGTCACTAGGATCATCACCAAAATCAAAGCCATCTAAGGCATTTCCGGCATCGCCACTGATGAAGTAGGCATATGTCAGGCGGTATTTGTCACTTTCAGGTCCCACCTTGAACGAGGCATAGTCTGCAGTACTATAAAGAAATAGAGACATCATATCTTGAGCCTCATTAGAGATCTCTTCCATAGAACAATTGTTTGGAATTTTTAAGTTTGCTTTTTAAGTCTGAAATGTGCTCATTGAATGGTCTTCTGCAAACTTGGCAATAGGCAATGGCTGCAAGAACCAGTTCAGAGCTCATCAGCCTCACCCAGGATGGGTCTAGAAGCCGTCAGAGCATCTCAACGAGAACTCAAAACTTCAGCCGTTTTAATGATTTATGCCTTTTGGATCCTAATAGGAAATCCAGATGTATGGATGAATCTAACTTTATATGTTCTCTTTTATCTAAATGGTTAGCATTATTGACACAGTTAGAAACCACAGGAATGAGCTGATAGTGAGTGACCGCTAATGCACCAAACTGGAAGGAGCTACAGCCCCTTTGGGTGTTCCTATAACCTGAAGGGTGAGGTCCTAAAGGGATTTTTATTTCCCAAGGCAATGTGGTAATGGCAATAAGGATGGCTTCCCAGAGCATCACATAAAAGAAGTGGTCCCTGTGTGACCCATAAAACATGAGCTGGGCTATCAGAGAGATTCTCCCTGGATAAAAAAAGAAAATTATGAATGAGGGCCAGAATTCTATGGAGAGCAGGGAAGAATGGGCCTTGGTACATGAACGGAGGCTTCCAGAAAATACTTAGCTTCTTTCCTGACCTCCAGTCCTTGCAAAATATGAGATGTTCTCACAGGAGCAGATATGTGACCACAGTGCTTTCTGGGTGAAAAAATTTAAAAAAATAAAAGTACGTGTTTGGACACAAAACATATTTCATTATTTCATAGACATAAAAAGAGGATTGGATATTTTTCTGAATTTTAAATAGGTATACAATGCTCAAAGCCCCCAAATAGCTCTGAGCATAGAGGGGGCCTTATCTCACAAAAGGACCTAGCTGATTTAATTTTAAGATGGCCAGGAAATCTTAAGAGGCTGGAGTAGCTTTTCAACCAGAATAGTCTTAAGAAGACAATTTGTAGAGTCAAACGACCTGAGTTCAAATCCAACATTTACCATAAACCAGCAATGTGACCTTGGGAAAGTTAAACTTTAAAATGCGCCCTAGCCAGTTTGGCTCAGCGGTTAGAGCATTGGCCTGCGGTCCGGAGAGACCCGGGTTCAGTTCCCGCTAAGGGCATGTACCTCAGTTGCAGTTTTTCCCCCAGCCCTGGTTGGATCGTGCGGGTGGCAGCCGCTCGATGTGAACACATAGATGTTTCTCTTTATCTCTCTCCCTCCCACTCTATCTGAACAAAGAATGGAAAAATAGCCCTGGCCGATTTGGCTTAGCGGTTGGAGCGTTGGCCCGTGGACCAGAGAAACCCGGGTTTGGTTCCCGCTGAGGGCGTGAACCTCAGTTGCAGTTTGTCCCTGGCCCTGGTTGTGTTGTGTGGGTGGCAGCCACTCGATGTGACCCTTTCACGTCGATGTTTCTCTCTCTCTCTCTCCCTCCCACTCTATCTGAACAAAAAAAAAAAAAAAGGAAAAATGTCCTTGGGTAAGGATAAAAAAATAAATTAAAAAAAAATGGAAAAATGTTCTCCGGTGAGGATAAAAATAAATAAATAAAATGGGATTCACAATATTACCTACCTCATGAAAGAGTTATTAGGAGTAGATTAAATTATATACTATTTCTGATAAATATTAAACACTCAATAAATATCAGCAATTATTTTGTATGGTTCCAGAGTCAGCAGGTTGTACCAAAATACTCAGAGCCAGCCTGCATAGGACCCTTCTCGTCGGGCTGTCCAAGAACCAAACTGACTTCTGGAGGAAATGGCTGGATGTGCTCTTTGCATTTGTCAGGCTGCCTTTGCCATTGGTCTGGTGATGGTGGGAAAGTGCACATTTCAGACATGAAGTCCTCTCTGGACAGTACCTGGTTCTGCCATTCCAGTCTTCCAGCTCCACTCTTAACACATATGGCATGACAGACTGTGTGCTTATCAAATGAATCTTCTCATTTCCCAGCCAAAATTCTGTGGTGCCCGTGGGAGACAGGTGTCCAAACCCTTCTTTGTATTGAATCCAGTTTTTTTTGAAATCCACACTGCCGTCAAGCCTCTAGTTACACAATTGCACAGGCAAAAGGAGAGAATAGGTTATCGGTACACACAAAGAAAATGTTATAAACATTTGGTGAAAATATGAGGGTATGACCCCATCGTTTTCTAACTAAATGAACTTGGTCAAGCTGCCTCAGTTTCCTCATCTGTCAAATGTGAATAATGATGCTTACTTCTTAAGGTTATTACAGGGATTACACGAGAGAATGTTAGAGAAATACTTAGAGAGTGCCTGGCACATGGTAGGTTCTAAATTAGTGGTAGTTTTTAAAAGACACCTAGAGGACTTCAGAACTCCAGCCTGATACTGCTGATTCTTGTACTGATGATGGAAAGGTCAACCAGCTCAATCGGCCTGCCAGCCAGCGCTTCCATCACACACGCCCTCTGAGCGCCCCCTGCAGGATTAGTTGTGAAAGTGGTCAGAGGTAAACAAAAGGAGCGCAGCAACTGCCAGGGACAGGCAGAGAAGAAACAGAGAGAGGGTCCTTGTCTTGGAACAGCTTAACTGTATCCTCTGGGGGACTTCACATTTTTGTAATTGGCAGCCACAGGTCTTAATCAAACTGATGAAACAGGACCCTTCCAGTTCCCGTTTTTGTCACTGCGATTCTGTGACTATGTACAACAGAGTGCCAGCACAGTACAGAGTCCAAGCACAGACTCTGGGTTCCAATTCTGTCTCTGTTACTTACTAGTTGGTTATGTGATCCTGGGCAAGTTACTTTACCTCTTGTGCCCAAGTTTCCTCCTCTGTAAATAAAGGTACTGATTTTACCTACATTACAGGGAAGTTGCAAGGATTCATCATGTTGATGTTCACAAGGTGCTTAGAAAAGTATCCAGTACAAGACAGATGCTTATTTGAGTGTTTATCACAGACACAGGATGAGGGGGAAAAATACCTTCTGAAGCACAGTCCATCCATTGCCATTGACAATTTCACAGTAGACTAAGAACTGCTGTTGAGTTGTTGTAGGTTTGATAAAGTAAAGCCCACTCTCTTTGCCTCCATTATTGGCAACATCTTGACAATCTGAAGAAGAAGAATAAGCCTATACTGTGTTTGGAAATCCAGATAAGACTGTTCCAGCCTTGAATGTGAGCTTTTAACAAGTTGCCAACTGTTCATTTCCCACAAAGCATTTTCTTACTTCTCATGTCATCATTCCTTTCTAGCTATTTTTAGCTACTCAAGTAAAGTCGAAGCTATTGGATACTTTAGATTTAATGGCTAGGCACTTTCAAAATTATCCCTGTACAAATGGGGTAGTCCCAGAGACGTGGAAGTGGGGTACAGACTGACAATCGCCAGAAGAGGGGGTGGTGGGGGAGAGATAGACCACAGAACTTATATGCATGTATGCATGAACAGTGGATATGGACAACAAACTGGGGACAGAGCAGGGAGGGAGGAGGAGGGGGGAATCAGTGGGGGGGGGGGGAAGGAGAAACATCTGTAACAAAAATTAATTAATTAAAAAAATAAATAAAAAGAATTATTCCTGTACACTTCAAAACATGAAATCTCCTTTGCTTGATATACTGGCTTTGATGAAAGTAATCCCCATATCAACCTGTCACTTACCTCTTCCTGTTGTATCATGTATTTTTACTGTGTCTTTGCAAGGTTCCTGACACTGTGCTTCAAGCTGGACTACTTTCTGTTTCAAGGTAAGGATCTTCTGATTATTTGAAGTATATATGTCCTGCAAAAACCTATAAGCAGAAGAATAAGATAACAGAGCATTCCTTTCCAAGGTATAATTTTATATTTTCATCTTTAAAAAAATTCTACCTTATCTTTTCAAGAATTACTTCCTGACAAATTACTCCATTTTTTGGAAAAAAATTTTAAATTATGTTACTTAATTGAGGTGAGTTAACATTCTAAATTTTCTGAAAAAGAAAGAAAAAGTCCTTGTCCATAAATAATACCATTGTCATTAAACAGTGGTCATTCTGATTTTTACCATTTCTATCAAGGGCAGGAGATAACAACCTCATTGAGTGAAGAGCCTGGTTAATAAGTAGACTGCCTGGTGATCATTCTTTGGACTGGATATTCTTAGGGGAGAAAAGGCTCTGTCCAGTAATTCACATGCTTTGCACTGTGGATCTACTGAGGACCTATTTAAGGTCTACAATCTATAAGTTACATGGAGAACATATCTGGGACATTGTCTGAGATATAATAGAACAACAGCCACCTTCATTACCTTCTTGATGTTATTTACAGATCTTTGGGAAACAGCTGAGGGGAGCAGTTTTTTACAGGGTTGCTTGTACAATAGTCTGTGCATTATAGACAGTTTTCTCTCATTTCTGAAATGAGAGAAAACTGTCTACAATGCATAGAGTATTGTGTCTTTCTGTGAAGAAGGATAGAAAAAGCATTTGACTACTCTTTTTCTCTACCACACCTTAACTTCAACCTCAGTGATGGGCAATGATAATGCAAATTATAATGCTAATAACAATTACAGCAATAATAACCATGGTCCTCTGATACCAGGAGGAGGAGAAATCTCTCCTGGGCCACTTCTCCCCAGCCATCATTTATCACTATTTTTTATGCCGCTTTGAAAACAATTAAGACAAAAAAATTGAGAAAGAAACGAAAACTGTATCAGGGACCCTGTGTTCAGGAAGTTAATGAGTCCCTAGGGAGCTGAGAGAGACATTTTACTTTCAAGTGAAGGGCAGAGAGTACATAATAGCACATTCATTGTGCCATGACCAACACACAGCTTTATAAGGTTTATTACACATAGTTTCTTAACTTTTGTAGTCTCTTAACTTCTGTGCCCCTGCTTGCTAATTCCTTGCCACCAATTTGTTGACAATCTTACACAGCGAATTTTAGTCTCTGCACCCAAATTCCCATTTGAATTTATGTTGAAAGACAGATGGGTGTGGGGAAGTATTTTGATAAATATGGTCATAATGGCATTTGAAGACATCTAAAATACCTTTCTCCCATGTGATCATTACAAAGTAATCGTAACCCAATATAATACATATTGCACTAAAAAGGCTATTTCCGATGTGTTCCAGATGGTCAGGCATAATGACAATTAGATATTAAAAGTAGGGGGAAAAGGCTAATTCCACTGAAGTTTGCAATATTCAATAAGAAATAAATCACTCTTGGAGAGCAAGTTAAAACAAACATGCTTACCGAATATTTGATTCATGGGATATAACTGATGCTTCGAACTTTATAATATCTTCTATCATTTGCCTGGACTCCCTAGTAGCAGCTTCTATTTTACCTGTAACATGAGATCAGAGATGAAAATGCTCAGGCAAACAGAACCACTGAAACAGCAGAAAGGAACGTTCGAGTAGTGTTTAGCTCCTCACTTTGCTTGGGTGGAGCACCAGAATTGTAGGTGATTTGGATTGATCTGATCAGTTCTTTGGCATCTCCTGTTTTGTTTTCAACTTGACTCATCGTCTCTTCCAAAGCCTGCAGATCCTTTTCTACTTCATTTTGGTAATTAACCAGAAAGTCTGCAATTCCACATGTAGTTGGACAATAACTCCCCTGAAAATACAACAGAGTGATTTAAAATCTTCATAAAAGCTACACTTAAAATCTATGAATACAAATAGGTCAAGACTAAACTATGTTAAGCAAAAGAGAGAGAGAGTTTAAAATGCCAGATAATATTTGTGAGAGAATTTCCCTGCCCCTCTGCAGTCCAAACATAGTGAGAAACATAAAAACGACTTACAAATCTCTCATCTAAGATGCAGCAGTTGTCTCTTGTGGCAATATACTGGAGGAGAAAAATACAGAAATTTCACTAGTTATCATACATTTTCTTACTTTTCAGCTTTTCACTTAAAACAAATATGTCTTACAGAGAGTACACTTACTGCTAGGCATGTTGAAGAGAACAACAAAAGAGTGTAGAAGTAGAGAGTTAAACTCTGGGTGTGCAAGGACCAACTCATGGTGTCAGGGTGTCTTGTGCTCCGAGCTCTGTAGTATCAGTACTGTGGCTGTCAGGCTCCAACCGCCTCTTTATGTAAGTTCTGAGGATGGCCAGGATGGCCTTTCAGTGGCTGGAGCTGATCACGGGACCTTCTTACCGGGAGGTGGGAGATGTATTTCCTGTCTCTTTTACCTCAAGCTGGCCCCCAATCTATGCTCTGTCAGGTTCCCAGATTTTGCACACAGGTTTAAGCTCCTCCTTTTTGGCCCAGCTGAACCTTTCTCCTTTGCAGCCAATTCATCTGCAAAGCCTAGGGAAGCACTAGGTATTGCTAAGAAGAGGGAGGGGCCCCTGGGAGGGTGCATGAGGCAACCTCTTCCAGTATCCCACTGAAAGAGCAAACACTGAGAGCTGACCTCCCCCAGAGCAAGCCCAGCCAGCTGACCTCCCTCAGAGGAAACCCAGCCCAATCTTAAAATGGAGCCTGGTGCAATCCAAATTACAGAAAGCACTTTCTTCGCCTATAGATTAGGTAACATAATTATTTTTAACCTGTGGCTATGACAAGAGGAGACTTTGCTTTCTACCAGGTCCCAGAAACAAATGACACTGGAAATATATTTCCTGCCCCTCTGTGTTGATCATTATCTTTTTTTCCTTCCTTTTTTTTAAATGGCGATATAACCGACATATAACATCGTATTAATTTCAGGTGTACAACATCATGATTCTGCATTTATATATACTGTGAAATGATCACCACAATAAGTCTAGTCAACATCCATCACCGCACATAGTTACACAGTTATTTTTCTTGTGATGAGACTTTTACAATTTACTCTCTTAGCAACATTCAGCTATACAATGCAGTATTATTATTAAGTATAGTTACCATGTTGTACATTACATACCCAGGACTTACTCATTTTTTAACTGGAAGTTTGTACCTTTCAACCCCTTTCACCCATATGCTGACTTTTCTCATAGATTCTCAGCTCCCTCTGAGCTCTTGAGCTCAACTGGCCCTTTGCCTTAAAGAGTTGGAAGGCACCGCACCGCATCTTCCACAGAGGGGAACTGAGTCAGGAGCCGACTTTGTTTTTCTTGAGGTTCCATTTAGTCACCTCAGAGGACAACCTGGAGGCAGGACAAGAAAGATGCACCTCCTGGGTGTGTGACCGGAAGCCTGGCCGGAGTTAATGGGTACAAGGACCTGCTTGGGAAGGACTGTCCGTTGGCCCTGCCTCTAGCACTCCCTGGTATGTTAGGAAAACACATTTATCATCATCTCCTACTGAAAATCCACAGTTGTGCTTTGCTGCCTCCTCCGAAACCAAGTTTACTGCAGATTCTGGTTAAATACATCAGTAGGAGAAATGTGTCTAGATGGAAAGAAATGCTAACACTTGAATCCTAAATCTTTACAAAGGAATATTTATGTTCTGACTTGAAGCAAAGATAAATGTTCCTACTCAGTAAACAATTAATAGTTATTATAACATGGTGAATGTATCAAAACCAGATCTGTGGCCTTTTCTCTCCTCTTTAATAGTTCCTCTCTGACTTATCTGTAACTGCCAATCACATCATTGGACCACCAGCCGATTAGTCACAATCTTCCTTATTCTCTGATCTATTTATCTAATCAGTTGTTAAAGCTTGTTGTTAAAACTATTTTCAGTTTTTTTTATTTTATTTTATTCCTTCTATTTCCACTGCCAACATGCTAGAGGAGGCCCCTTATTTCTTGTCCAGACTGGTTGTCTACAAGGCCAGCTGACTGATCCCCCTTCCTCCGCTCCAGAGAGTTCCTGCTCCAAACCATTTGTCACACTGCTGACAGAATAAGTTCCTGAAATGTAGTTTGATTATGACATTCACCTGATCAAAAGCCTTCAGGACTCCCAATCTCCCACCATAATGAATGGAAAACACAACAATTGCCCCTTCCTACCTTTGCTGCCCTTTCTCTCATGGACTCACATCATGTCCCCTTAAGGTGCACCGTATAGTATTCTCAGACTGTGTTCCTCTTCTTACTCGTACCTCCCTCGGCCTGGATTGCCTTCACACGCACTCCCGCATCTCTGCCTGGGAAGTTTCTACACACCCTGAAGGTCCTGTTTCATGATCCCTACTCCTTCCAAAGTAAAAACGCAAACTTTGCAGGCCAGCTGTGCCTCTTTCAGAGCATTTATAGAAACATGTAATTTCCTATATACGTGCAGTGTGTGCCTTATTCGATGCAAAACTTATTTTTGGCTACTGTACCCAGTGTAGAAACATTTAACACTCAGTAATGATTTGATGACATTGAATTGAAGTGGGCTAGAAATAAGCCTTTAAAGTCTACACTTCTAATCTCTCTCAAACTTTCTGAAAGCAAAATGAAATTACTTTGGCAAGGATAAATAGTAATTAATCAATCAGAAAGTAACTATTGATAAAGTGGATGTGTGAAAATTACTAATCAGAAATCAATAGCCCTCTTCTGTATAATAGCTATCACACTCAGGATTTTACTCACTCACATACTAGATAAATTGTCTAAGGAAAAGGTTAAGAAGTAATAGAATCAATATCATTAAAAATTTCAAACAATACTTTTGGGTTATAAATAAGAATTGGAAAAATGAAAATCATGTTCTACTTCTAAATAAAAAGAATGAATAAAAATGTCAGGATTTCCATAATTTAGAACTGTATTAATATCCCAATAAAACTATAAAAAAGGTTTTCTTATTTTTTTTCCCTTTTTAAAGAATTAGATTAGCTGTTTCTAAAACTCAAATTAAGAGAAAAAGAAAATAATCTTGGAAAATCCTAAACAAGAAGAATGAGGACAAGAATATCTGTTAAATATGAAGCCTATTATACATCCACAATATTTTAAACAATATGATACTGGCCCATAGAAGGTAGGTAAGTGTAATCAAGATAAAGGTCTAGATATATTTTTATTTTTGGTATGATAAAGTTGGTATTACATGTCAGTGAAGATAGAGAAAATTATTAAATACATGGCATTATTATGGCGTGAGAAAAACTGGGAGGCTACACGGGAAAAAAGGAAGTGGCATGCACTGCTAACCTCTTATGCCCAAATAAATCACAGGTTACCAAATATTGAAATATGAAAGAGGAATACACAAAAGTACTAGAAGAAAATAGGAAATCATTCATAATATTAGAGTATGAAAGATCTTTCTAAATATAACTCAAACTCCCAGAAAAGATGAATGAATTTTGACTACATTAAAATAAATCTCTTCCCAGCCAAAACCAAAACCAAACCCCAAACCACTATATACAAAATCAAAGGCAAAATACTAAAAGAAAACAGAAGACATATACACACATTGAATATCATTTCCAGATCACACTGCACAGTCTACCAACGTTTCCTCTGTGGAGAGGTACGGGACAGAGAAAGAAGGTGGGGGAAAGGTTCCATTTCTCTGTATACTTAGAATTTTGACTATATGCTCATATTACCTACCTATATCCAAATACATATCATTAAAATATGTAATTATTGATTATTCACAATGATGTATTTGTTACACTAATAATTATTTTTATTACTTTTTATTTGAATATATTATATTTTTTCTTTATTGATTTTAGAGGGAGAGAGAGGTGGAAACATCAACGATGACAGAGGAGATCAATTGGCTGCCTCCTGCATGCCACCTCCTACTGGGGATCTGGCCCACAACTTGAGCATGTGTCCTGACCGGGAATTGAACCGATGACCTCTTTGTGCATGGGTCGATGCTCAACCACTGAGCTACACCGGCTGGGCTTTATTTGAATAAAAAAGGTGACTAAGGAATTGCTTTTTAAGAAAGTATAACTCGATTTGAAGAGAATGTGCAATAGTAGTTGTTAAGAGCTCTAAAGTTTGAATCCCATCTGTACAACTTACTGTGTCATTTTAGTACAAGTTACTTAATCTCTCTGAGTTTTGGTATCTACATTAGCAAAATAGAAAAAAATTGTTTATAATAATACTTCAAGGACTGTCACCAGGATTCAATGAAATAATCTGTTGAGCACATTGCCTGGTTCCCAGAGAGTATTAAGCAAATGTTTATAAGGCTTATGAATTACCAAATGTTTTAAACTGACAGCTGGCATCTGTATAAACAGGTATTTTATTGTAGAGGAACTATTATTGGCAGATTGGGTTCATGGGGACCAAGCTTTGTTGTTCCAGCTACAGAAGGTTGTCTCTAGTAAGTGATCTGTGCTGCTCACTGCAGGCTGATTCTGTAGTGCTTCCCAGAGAAGAAAGCACCTGGTTGTTGAATTTAGGTGGACATTCCACCTAAATTAATTCCATCAATCAAAGATGAAATGATAATAGAACTAGACCGCATGCCTTGTGAGAAGGTATAATTCCCATGAGAGTTCAAGCAAAGTGTGTCAAATACAGCATGTTGAACAGTGTGATTCTTCTTGCTGAAGACCATAAAATACTAATTTATTGAATTTAAGATACTTGGTGGTAAATCTTATAGATAGAGAATATATAATCTTATATGTACAAGGTTGATAAACACTTAAAGAAATTGGAAATTCTATTTTATTCAATTTTACTAATACTTGTATTCCTGGCTTTTTGCTGACTTGCATTGGAACCTGAGATGTGTTATCACAACTTTAAAGAAAAGACATTCTGAGAGAGAGAGAGAGAGAGAAAATCCTATTAGATAAGATGTTCTCTGAGAGAAAATGGGATTTAGTGACCTACATTGGCCCTGCATTCAGTACTACGTTTATTAAAGTTTAACTAGCTGTTCTCTTTAATGCGTGGGACAGTTTGTTTCCTCTGAAAAATTATAAATGATTACTGAATTCCAGGAAAGAAGAGTATTTCTTAAATCACATTTCCTCTACTTCCAGGTTTGTTTTCCGAGAAAAGAACACAGGTAGTATTTAAGCCAAAACAATCATTTAATTTAATTCAGAGGTCAATGGGTTTGTTTATGTTCTGACTTGAAAATATAACATCTATTCCTAACAGTCTTCAGGTATAGTAATAAGTCACTCTACGAGCTCCTTGTCTGTTTTGTTCATTTATGCTCCAAAATTGTGTCCTGAAT